GATCATTACAAATACAAATAATTGGTATACGAGTCCGTTTTATAAGTGAAATAAGTTCTTGTATACCTCCACGATCTTCATTTCCAGCTACACCATCAACTTCATCCATAATTAAAACACAATTAGATAATGATGACTTATTAACAAAAGAAGCAACACTATGAGAGTCACTTGAAAGAGTAGCTACTAATTTTTTTGAACGTTGATCTGAAGCATTCTTTTCAATATATTCAAAATTAAGATGTTCACAAACAAGTTGAGCAGCTGTAGTTTTGCCTAAGAAATTTTGAAATGAATAAGATAACATTAATTCAAATATTATATATACTAACCAATACCAGGTGGACCACTAAGAAGAGCAGCCTTAAACAATGCCGGATCTTCATTGCGATTAAAACCATTGGATGGTTTTGCTTTAACTTTCTCATCGCTACGTCCATGATGTTTATACCAATCACGTAACCAGACAATTAATTTTTGAACGCAAGATTTATCACCTTGTTGTCCGATTAGATTTTTAATTGTACGAGGTTTGTATTTATCGGCCCCTAAATAAAAACTGATGCAAAGAAAAGATCAAATCTATTATGATATATACATACACATGAGTGTTGATTCATCTACTGATAGTTTTGGAGTTGTTGGTGTGTCATTGTTTATTGTAGGAGGAGTAGATAAACTAGTTTTAGCTTTATCTACATCGCCCACAGTATTAAAAGCCGTTGGTTTCGATTTGACAGGTGATGGAGGTGGTAGTGGTTGTGATGCTGAAGTTGGAATTTTTTTGGGTGTTTCATCATCACCTGGACGTGTTGCAATCATTTGAAGAAGATCATCTTCTGATATAATTTTGACTTTTAAATCTCGAGCCTTTTCTAATTTTGATTCACCTCCATCACGACCAACAAGAAGATAAGTTGTTTTACTACTAATCGATCCTGTTACTCGACCACCATATTTTTCTATTAGACTTTTACATTCATCACGTTCTAATGATTCAAGTATGCCTTAAATAAACAATAAAAAACTCGAAATTTTCGATGAATATATTTCTAGAGAGATTAAATTTTTGTTTTCCTACCAGAAATAACAAATGTTAAATTTTTAAGACAATTAGATGCTCCATCTGGAATAGTTTTTGAACCAGGTGCATCAGGTCCACCTCGATTCATAAATGTTTTAAAATTTTCCACTCGTCGTTTCTTTTCTAATGGATCGACGTCTTTGATTTTCATTTTTTTGTTCGGTGTTGTACTTTCAGCTTTTTTTAATGGAGCATTCTCATCTACGGATTTTTGTTTCACTTTATGTGGTTTTTGACCAGTTTTTGGTACAAAGATATCATCATCTTCATCTTCATTATCAACATGTTCCCGTATTCGCTAAAAATCCAAATAGAGAAATTAACAATGATTTAAATTTATTGTTCAATACTTTATTATTGTTTGATGGTGATGAAATAGAATTTTTTTTGAAGAAATTTCGAATATCAGCCATTTAGTTGAAACTAAGAATTGAAGTGATTGTATGTTTATTTTTTTTCACAACTAAGAATGGAATGATTATGACGAAAAGAAATAGCGTTACATTCTATGATAAGATGACCATATTCACACACGATACATATTTATATCAGTGTATGTATTGTATCCTTGTTTGTTTAAACCAATCAGTTTATGTTCCATATTTAACTGTTTTCTATCCAGCTTTTGATGAACATAAAATCATGTAAATCAAATGTTTGAATTACATATAAGTTCATAATTAGAAAATAAAAGAAATTCAGTTGGAAAACCCATGGATTCATTCTTTTCAGTAATGTTTTTTTTATTTCAAAACTAACAAGGGTTCCGATCGAATGATTCAGAATTTTTGAGTTAATATTCTGTTCATAACAGAAATGGTACCATATATTTCGTACTATTGAAAAAAGATAATCATGGTGATAACAACAAGAAATTATCAGATATATAACGAAGAGGTAAAAAAATATTTACTATTCAATTTTTTTAGACCAGCACACTTTTTTCTGTAAGTCAATATAAGACCTCCAATATTAAATTGATATTCAGCGCATTACTTGTCTATACGAAAACACTCCACTGATAAGATACCTGCAATTATTCAGTATTCAATCTCAGGAAAAATGGATTACTGCCTTTTCTAGCATGACGGTCTAGAGTTAAAAAAGCTCGGTTTCAAATTTCCATCCCTTTCGTTTGTACACTACCCGTTGCCCTGCTGACATTAGATATTGAGTTCCGTCTCACTCTCCCGAACTCTTAGAATTATTCCTTAAAAAAAAGAAAATTTAACTAAAATACTGAAAAAGGATCGATCAAAGCTACGTTTGTAGTTTCAGTTTAGTAGTAAAATCTGGATATTACTTGTTTTAGGAGAGAGAGTCTAAAATAATCATTTTATTGTGTTTATCACATGTTTGATTCATTTAGAATTATGTAAACCCCCTATTTTTTTAATAAAACTATTCGTTAACCCTAATTACTAATAGGAATTTGCCAGTATAACAGTAGAAATCAAGATTTCATGAATAAAATCGCTTTTATTATCGATATGCGAAGGATAATAATCTATCAAAAAAACAGCCGTTTACCACAGAAATCGTCAAAATCATTCGAAAAAACCGCGATTTATCGACTTTCATCTCACAATTATCGTTTCAATGCATCTTGGTTAATCGTCAATTCTTTTATGACTTCAAAGAGTTGGACTTGTTGACTACTATAAGTTTACGTAGTTCAACATCAAAGATATGCATCTCACTCGATTGCATTCTACTTAAGTTAGTTTAGTTTTATTAAGATATACGTCTCTTTTTTTATTATACTTATTCATCAAATTTACAAAAAAAACTTTAAGTCTATCGGTTTCAGTGGATATTATGATAGAAGATTGATAAAATGCAGAGATACTCACAGTGAATTTTTACATCCTGCCTTGTCCTACACTGCTGCTCTGGATCGAGCAGAGCAGGATATGGTACTCTGTAGAATCGATATGCTCACTTATTGGTTTTTTTAATCAGTTCAACAGCAACAACATTTGTACATTATATTATAAAAAATCGTTTTATTTAAGTCCATTTTACAATATAGATAACTAAAGATTCAACTAAGAGGTGACACATAAAGAACGTCCAGGTAAAGGAGGAGCAAGGAGTTCGCCAAAACTGGAGAAATCTGGACAAAGAAGGGAGGGGTCAAACTCATTTGGTCGTCCAGGCACTTACTATGAATGTTTCCCTTTTTTCACATAACTTTCGGCGAAATTTTGAAGATTAAATTGGTTTGAACAACATTTTGAAATAGGAGATGAATCGAATCAATCAGATGAGTATCAATATTATGTTGAACTAATTGAAAATTATGCCAAAGAAGCAGATGGTTGTTTTGTTAAGCAATAGTATGAATGCTATTAGATTTTCGAGTGCCATTGCTATTGAACTTCATTTTTTTACAATTTTCTGCTCATTAGAACATGATGTGTTTAAAAAACTTTGTAATAGATTAGATTTTTATTTATTGTTTATGAAATATGTGTTTTGTCTAGTTATATTCAGTTATTTAATAAAAAAAGAAGCAGTATATTTGAACAAGTAGATTGATGGAATTTTTAACAAAAGCAATGATTGTAACAAAGGGAATTATTGATTAAAATTTTCTGAACGAACAATTGTCTCAGATACTTCAAAACATTTCAATTTACCATAAGTGAGACGTGCTGCACCATTGGTAAAATTGTTTGTAACTATTACGAGTGATTCATATTCAATATTAAAATTGAACAAGCGAGATAAATCAGTATTTTTATCGAAAAGAAGTTGTTTAGCATAATACACATGTGCTATACTCAAATTGAGAAGCATCAGATGAGGAAATGTAATCAATGCATACGAGTATTGTTTATTTTTTTGTGGTTGAGAATTGACTATGTGTAATTCTTTGAGCAAAGGAAAATCTTGAGATATTACTTGGAAGAAATTACATTCAAAAGGATATGTTGCATCATTCATCATCAAACTTCGAACTTTATCAAATATATCGCCTTGGAAAAAATTGTTCAGATGACTAAAGTCTTCGAATTGATATAGAAGTGAATAAATATGGCAACGACCTTCGTTCTCCATTGCAATAGTTTGAACAAATGAACCAACTTGCCCATATTCTCTTCCAATAAAGCTACGTTGAAATCTTTCATTCGCTGCAAGATTAATTTTAATATTCTTGTTGACTATACTTGTATTTATACTGAAATTGAATTTGTTTAATCGTGACATATAAATAAGGATTTCATCCTGTAATTGAACACCATCAATATAAGTCGAATCCACTCTTATTGCTGATAGAAATAATTTCAATTCTTCCAGATTTATCATTCGATGAAGTAATGGAATAATAATATTGTCATAACCCAATGTGTATTGAATCGAACACAATGAAAAACATTTCATTTTACGAAGATTTTTTTATAAAAAAAAAACAAAAATTAGGAATGTACATCTATTCAATATCGTATTTTTTCTCGAAAAAACAAATCATTAAAACCAAACTGACCGTATTTCTTATATTAGGTATTATCCGTGAAATTTTAAGCACATAAATAATCAATGTTGATAAACAATTAAACCGTCCATAAAGAAGATAAAGAAAATCAGCAAAGCTGTGGACATTAATGTTCAATGTAGTTAAAGTTGAAGACATGCATTTTATTAATGGTTTTTTGAAAATTTAAATCGCCAATAGTCGATAACGACATGATGCACAAAAGTTTAAGTCGATCAATCGTTTACATAACGATAAAATCAAGACAAATATCTTTGATAAAGTTTCAAATAATGGTGGTGCTATTGCCTTAATTTCAATGTCAATATTGAGATGTATAATTTGTTTAGAAGAAGATCATAAAGAACTGAATCATCTTAAATTTAAGAAACCAAATGATTTTTAACCTATATTTTAATAATTCCATTATTTTGTTAATTAGTAAAGAATAAAGCGAAATAATGTACTTTTTAAATATTGCAGAAGCATTTTATCTTGAAAAACATCAAGTGATAATGAATAAAGTTGAGAATAATTAATAGCAAGAAGACGATCCATTGAATGTGGTTCAACAGTGAGTTGATTGACTTGATGATGAATTCGAGGTAGGATTTTTTCACAACTTCTATCAAGAACTTGATTGTCAATTGAGAAGATATGATCAAATACTGACATGATGGTCATGGTGGTCATATTAGGATGATGAATATAGAGATCATCGAGTATTAATCGTTCAAATCTTTCTTTAATATCCACAAGTAAATAAAGAACATCGATCATATTGAGTTTCTTCCAAATGACAAGTAAAATTTCATTGGACAAATCAAGTACATATATTAAGATCATTGTTATTTGCAGTGTTCATGTTTAATTCTTACTATCTATTCGTTTTAATGTATATTTGTTTCTATTTTCTCTCTAGCGTCTATGAGAACAATAAAGAACAAATATTCATATCGCAATTAGACTATGATGAATAGGTGATGATATTTGCCTTTTTGTATAACATTTTTACATTATTCGCTATTGGTAAATTCGTCAAATCATTCTTCTTTTGTCGCAATATTTACTATGTGGAGTGCTCTTGATAACCCACAATATCATGTTTAGAATCAAGTACAACATACCAATTAGATATTCAAAATCTATTCATGAATTGTCAAAACCTATCATTGATTAGAAGAATGCCATTGCTTTTATTTGATTAAACTAAAAAAAAATACTGTAAAAAGTGTAGAAGCAGAGGGTATTCGTTTAGTAGGTGTTCCACCACGAATTCATAGTAACATTCAAGCTTGTGTTCCCCACTATGAAAAAGTGGTCCACCTTCAAATATCATATAATATCTGAAAGTTGAACACTTTTTCGTAGTGGGGAACACTAGCTTGAATGTTACTGTAAATTCACGGTGGAACACCTGCTAAACGAATATCTTGTTAAATTGTATTTAATACTTCTTCAGTGAAAATCGTACAGAAGAGAACGACATCTCTCAATGAATCAACATTGTTGATTATGCACTTAGCTTACATGAGAAAGGCGTATCTAGCACTTTCATTGGTGATTTAATTGCTTAATGTAAACGTGTATTTACTTAAAATGAGATTAATGTAATTCACTTTTCAGTGTGTTTGGGACCTAACTCACTTTTTAGACCACTGTGAAGCTAGCCGAGCCGAATCATTTAGCCGGAAGAAAGTAGCGATCCAATTGGACCATGTGTTTACCAATAGATATCGTAAAATTGGTAAATCATCACTGAAGAAGAAGAACACAAAAAAAATTTTGAAAATGGTTGTCTTAGTAACAATTACGCTCTAAAAAATACCATGTGTCTTACAAAACGTTTCAAGTGTCTATTCTTCATTTATTTTGCTTGAACGTCTAAAATTGGTCAACCGTTGACGCTTGGCCCGTCTAGCTGAAACATATTTACGTCTAAAAAAAGACGCATCAGATATTTCAGTTAGACGTACCAAGTATCAACCGATGATCAATTTTGAACATTCAAGCAAAATAAATGATGAACAGATACTTGAAACGTCTTGCTGAAGCCTCTGAACTTCTTAGAGTGAATCTGAAAGCAATAGAATGCGTGCAATAATTAAAACTTTAATAACTGAGTGTTAATATTCTTGCTTCATATGTTGGTTTTTTCTTATCAAGAAAAAATTACAGAGAAAAATTAGACTCAATTCAATGCAATTCATCACTTGAATTGAATTTTCTGTACTGAAGTTTGTATCACCAATATTATAACATATACAAGGTCCTGCGAGTTTCATACGGGTTCTTTAAAGGTTCGAACATCATTTTCCCCACACATCTGAATGAGTTGCATTGATTGCTGGCAGTTAACGGAAATTTTCTAGTGATGACCTGAAATATTAGTAATACAGGGTGGTCCAAAAAAAACTTACCCCCTAACTGTTTTTGGTTCTTTGAAAATATATGTATTCCAAATGACGAACTTTTTTATTTCAAAAACTATTAATAGTCATATGGTACATAATAGATGCGTCTAGTTTTTGAAATAAAAACTAGTTTATATATGAAATAAATCTCGTTTCGAGTAGGTCAAAAATACTTAGGGGGGTAAGTTTTTTTTGGACCACCCTGTACGAATACATTTATGAATTTCTGCGGTTTTTGAAGTGTTTGTATTCAAATGTTAACATCATTTCTCTCAACAACTCAACGAACTGTATCAACTGTTGACATTTAAAAGTTAGCAGGAATTTTTCTAGCTGTGATGTTATTCTTTCTAATAATGAAATGTAGATGGCTTTGTGCGAGTCTCAGACAGGTTTTTTAAAGGTGTCAACGTCAGTTTTCTCAACATCTTAACTAGCTGCATCGATTGATGCCATTTAGAACTTAGAGAAGTTTTACCAAAAACATAAGTAAAATTACATTTATGAACGAGTCTATTTTTAGTTTCAAAAGATTATGAAAGTAGAGAAAACGAGAGTATTTAAAAAAATGAGAAACATATAGTTTGGAGCATATAAATTCTTCAAAATTATAAATCATGTACGATTAGTACAACTAGAGAAAATCGTAAATTATTTTCAAATCATTGATACTTTCATATTATTTGATAATTTTTTTGTTGTATTTTTTAACTTTATTCATGATCGTATTGATAAATCCTAACTATATATTGTCATTTCAGTATTGTGTTTACCAGATTCCATGGCAACAAGTAGTGATATTACTGGCTCGAAAGAAACAAGCGGATCGCTCATTTCATGTGACTTTGAAATCTTTGGTACTGTTCAAGGTGTTTTCTTTCGTAAATATACTCAAAAACAAGCAACAAAACTAAATCTAGTTGGATGGGTGAAAAATACGTCAAGTGGTACCGTAAAAGGCCACATGGAAGGTCGGAAAGATGATATTAATGCAATGAAAAACTGGCTTCGAACAACAGGAAGTCCAAGATCCAAAATTACTAAAGCTGATTTTTCAAATGAAAAACCAATTACACAATTAAATGGAAAATCATTTGCTGTTAATAAGTAGAATGAATTTTCTTTATTGTAAATAAAATTAATTATCGCAGTTTTTTTTTTCTTCGTCCAATTGTTTTCTTTCTCAGTAAACACTTAGTAATTAATAATAAAGGTTCAGTACTGATATTTGAGATGTTTATTCTTATATGTGACTTTTACAATTGAACATACTGATCATATCGTCGATTGTCTGAAATATAAGAGGTTTCACTCTTATTTTTCATGCTGGAAATGATTGCTGTAATTATATTGTTCTATTGTTATTATTATACTTAAAAAACAAATGACAAAATTTTGTCATGAAAGTATTTCTTTTATGTATTTATCTAGACTAAACATAGCATATGTAAAATATTAATATGACGATTAATTTCAATAAACTAGAATATTCGTTAATTTTCTTTTATTACACAGAATCGATGAAAAAGACGAGAAGTATTCAGATAGAATACTTCATTTTTTATAGTTCACCGTGTTTCAGACAGATATTAGGAAAAGAAAGATACCTTCATATTTTTCGAAAATAACTGGTGCTTATGTTGCATTAGCTGCGACGCCAAAACAAACGCATATGAATTACGTATTCAACAAAAATATGATGATGGAGTCGATTTTACAAACCAATCAGTTGAAATTAAACCTGTTGAATATATTCGTCGTTACACATTATAAAACCATGTGTCCTAATATTAAAAAAGAAAAACAGTAGATGATGTCTTTTATCATGGAATTCTATTTCAAATAATGAACCATATATGACTAGTGTTGATCTCTCAAATATAAAGCTTTATTAGTTCATCATGTATCTTATTCAACAGTATTATAATAAATATTTTATATTGTTTCGCATTGATGCGCACAAGCTAAATAACTCCAACACAATCAAAAGTAACTATTATACCCATAAATCCATCCGATTATCCATTTGTTGAACATGTTTGTTATGCATATGGTTTTATTGTTCTTGATCTTCATACAAAATATTGCTTCAGTAACGGTTTTATCACTATTAAAAGACACAAAAATTAAATTATTTATTATTAATAATTTAGATGGTATTCAATTATTTAAAAACCATGTAACAATCACATCTTCGCTCATTACTAAAAATCGAATTGGACAATATAGGTACAATTATTTTAATTTGTGGCAGAACAGATAAGAAAATAAATCTTAAAAAAAACTTTTATTAACGATTCAAATCAATAGGCGAAGTAAAACTTGTAATGTTTTTACATACAAATATTATGTCAACAGTAAAAAGTATGACTAATTGACGACAACATTCAAATAGAAATGCTGCTTCTACTAATCGATATAGTTCAGTTTGATCGATGGCAAATTTATATAAACCATTATTATTTCTATTTTTTTCTGCATGGTTCTCTAAGTGCTTGTTGTCGAATGCCAGAAAAAGAAATTTTAAATATTATTCAATTATAAAACCAACAATTATTTCTATAGTACAAAGAATTTGGAATAAAATTCATGATAAAATAAGAATGGAAGTTAATCAAAGTAAAGATAAAAAATTATTTGGCAGTCAAGTGAAAGTTATGGTAATTGGTTTAGTACCAATAACACCTGAAATTTTACATATTTTTCGTATTGCACTCGATATAACGATTATTGAAATATATGGTCAAACAGTATCAACTGGGACTGTAATAAGTCCATATATAATGGATTTATCATTCGGAACGGTTGACTCATCTTTCCTGTATGTGCAAATAAAACTTATTGATGTACCTAATACTAATAATCGAAGTAATAATAATCATTGGAACGTTTGTATTCGAGGACCAACTATTTCGGAAAATTAATGAAACATTGAAATTGACTTATGAATTAGTACTTACTTGTTTTATTTGAATTACTATGGTGACGAAAAGAAAATACATCAAACAATTGGTAAACATGTTTCACTTCATACAGATGATGTTGGCGAATGCACGAGTACTTGTGTGCTGCGTATTATCGATCAGTACAAAATCTATATTTTAATTGAAATCAAGGTAAATATATAGCATCTGAACGTCTTGAACATATATCTATTCTCGTTCACAATCGATAGCTCGAACATTTATTGACGTTATTTAGACTAACTCATCTATTGTAACTAGTGTTATTCGTGATAAAGAGTATATACGATAGAATTTTAAAACAACAATAACACTTCTTGACAATAGATATACAGATAAAAACCTGAAATAACTTATATTGAATGATCTACAACGATTAGCTAAAGAATATTAATTTAAATATTATGAATGTATTAAAAATATACATCATATTCGTGATTTATTTTCAGAAGAAAAATAGACTTGATACATTTAGATTAGAAACTCGTCGAACGAAAGCTCGAGAGTATTTTCAAACTATAATTCAATCACTTTATAATCTTGATGAAATGATTACGAAATGATTTATTGCTGAACAATAATCGAATTTATATACTCTAATAATGCTGATAAGTTTTTTTTTTCAATTTTTTTATTTTTTTTTATCTGTTTTTCAATTATAAAATTTGATAGTTTCATCGATGATTAAATTATTTCAAGACAATAATTGTTAAGTTTTTTTTGAGATCGAATTTTTTATTTTTAATAATAAAACATATGAATACAATACAAACGAAATCAAAAATTGTCATTATATTCCTTTTCAGGTTGTATTGATTGTGGTGGTAAATTAATTTTTTGTATAGCAATTACTTTTATACCATCTTTAGGTGCAACAACCATAACTTCTTTTTGTCGTGTTCGAAGACGGAGTGATATTAAATTATCCGTTGGACATAAATCACGTATTGCTGATCGAGCCATTTCAGCAAAAGCAAGTAATTTCGGAGTAATCATAAATGTTACATTATTATCAAGTGATGTATAATCAAGTTGTCCTTCTTCATTTGTTAATATAATACCTTCAACACTAGGATAAGTTGATAATCTTTTTAATATTGCTTCTTCGGTTGGTAATAAACCTATTTGATAGAAATAGATAAAATTTCATAATTGAATTTATTTTTTTTAAATTATACCAGTTGAATTATCCATTTATTTATGATGGATTGTAGAGGTTTTGTTTTAAAACGCTTATGCCGTTGACAAGTGAAATATTGACCAAAAAAAGGTAAAAAAAAAAGAGAATAGAAGATAAAAATTCCGTTATAAACTTGTTCTGGATAAGAAAAGAATCTATGTGTTGTATGTGTATGTTATTGAAATACAGAACAACACAAAATAGAGGTATACATGTGTTTAAGAGAGAAGGAAGAGAAGACCTTTATTATCGACACGCACTCACATATATACCCGTTTACGTTAGATATACTCAACATTCTCTCAATAAACGATTGTAATTCTAAGTAGACAAAGTATTCTTATCGATTATAATTTGACATGAACAAAGAAAAGAAAAACTATAGTTAAACCTACTTCCGTTTGTTGTTATGAAATAGTATTTTATTTATTATAAAATTGATTGAAAAAATGAGAAATAATAAGTAGATAAAAAAAAAGGAGAAAAATATATTCTTAGAAAAAGAGAAAGCGGAAAGAGAAATGTTTCAACATATCTCTTTTTTTCTTTTTTTTTTGCCGTTATAATCTACTCATTGTTCACTACTCCGGCTAATGTTTTAATGACAAATATTACATAGCTAAAGTAAAAAAAATCATCGAACAATGCAAATTTTTGTTTTGTACCGAAACACAGGAAAAATTTCTTGCTATTAAATATTAACTCTATCATTTCTATTGATCAAAAGTCGAGTATTTTCTTTTTTCTTCATAAACTCATATGGACTGAACAAATTGACAATGAATATCAATATTTAAAAAGTAATGACTGATTTTAGATTATATTATGCTATTTCTACTCAAATTTCAATGTCAATTGAGTAGCTAAATTAGTATTATGCATCAACAAGTTCAGATTACGAGAGAAATTGGAATATGTCATTGAATGGATTCTTGTGAAGAAAAGACAAATGTTCACATCATGCTGTATTAAACATATTCAATTGTTCCAGTAAAAATTGATTTGCTTAAACAAAGTATTGTTTACTATCAAATTAAAGTTTTCTCAATCTTTCATAAAGAATAATGAAAATATTCTTTTTCTTAGATACCAAAATTTTATTCGATAAAAAGGATTTCTATTGCAAATATTGACGTTATATCATCTATTCATCAAATCAGAGTTCCATTGAAAGATAACAGATGTTTATTCGACGTGAAAATTCATCAATTATTAACACATTTTTAAACATGGTTCTGTTGGACATGTCATACCTCCAAGGTTGTGTGTCTACAGAACATCAAACAATCCTCTTCATGTCTTTCTTACTTTTTATTTCTCAACATGTCGCATTTCTTTGAATTATAGATTATTAATAATCAAAGAAAAACCTCTTTACTCAATGATAGGAAACACTAAATACAGAAAAAACAGGCCTTTTTAATGCATAGATAAATTTCAAGATACGCTATTTCTAAAAGCGAGGAAATAACGTTATTCTGTCCATAAAACGTACTAATTGCTGTTCTTTTTTTATGAGATCATCAAAAATTTTCATACAAACGCTGAAAATATGAAGGTTTTCATTATATATTCAATTAAATAGATTAATTACGCTTAAATATGAAAAAATAAACAAACAGAAATATGAAATCACATGAATATCCAATATTGTAATTCAGATTTTATTGAAACTTTTTTTTCAGTTACTAGTAAATCTTTATTTAAGTCTTTATGAATCAAGTTTATATCACTTAATTTGTCAGAAATTTACAGTATATTTGTGCATATCTTTTCATAGTCAATAATGGCTAACTTACAATTAGATATAGATCCAATGCATTGATTCTCAATCGTAGAGTGACATTGCTGGTTTGTCACTTATTTTTATGAAAGTCTAACTTTCTCATTAGCTAGAATAATCATCAAAAATCATTTGTAGATTAAATCAAGTGTTAGTGAAACAACAATTACTTTGAATATGTCAAATATTGGATATTGTTCCAAACACATCCTGCATACACTAACATCATGAACATTTCAAACTTGATTATTTTTTCGACTCATATACATACGTTTGGTTTTAACCTATTTATCTATGAACAATTTCTTCAGTTTTTCAAAATAAAACAAGCAAGAACGTTTTGTTTCGTTTTCTTGATATTTTTTATAAGAATAAATTTTTTCTGTTTTAAAATCAATTGAAATAAGGCTTCTAGTTAAAAATCGGAAAGCAATCATCATAGAGAAAATTTACATAGGAAATCATGAAAAGTTTGAGTTTATAAATACATTGTCTTGTTAATTTTGTTTCTTAATAATTTAATCGATGCTCTTATGACAGTGTATGTTTTCTTAAAAGTGATTCTGATTAAGTATCAATATGTTATCGAATCGATAATTTGAATACACTAAGACTAAAGTCTCATAGTGGTTAGTCCCACGATACTTGACTTGCATTTATTTCGTATGGATTCTCTCTAATACATTGGTGTATATCTATAAAGAAAATCATTATCAGGATAGAAGAATGAGACGAAGTCATGTTAAGAAATGTGCGAATGTTTATCAAAATAGAATGACATTGTCAATGCATATTAAGCATTTGTTTTTAATTTCATACAATCAAACTGTTCGGTTTTAGTATACGAAGAAAGCATATTTACAAGGAAATAAGCCACATTTGACTTTGTTGTAGATTTTCCTCTAGATAAAATAGACAAGTCCACTTGTTATTGTCAATCCTTGCTTTTCAATAACCGATGAAGTCGAATTTAATTGTGTTCTATTTAGAAGAATTACAGAAATATAGAGTTCTCTCCGCCGACGCGTTTTATGTTATTTATTGAAATATCCATACTCATCAGGACTCTGCATCACATAGTTTTAGCATAAATAAGAAAAACAAGATTAAAGAAGCACAAAAAACAAAATAAGAAAAATAAAAGATCAAAGTGAATAACAGAAAATGGGAGATTAATGGAAGAACAAAAATTATTCTTAAGTAAAGAATAGTTCAATTTTACCGTAGATTTGATGATACTGAAATACAGATGTTTGAGAAAGATATGTGAGAATTTAAATGAATTGTATCTTGTACGTCTGTCAGTTCGATTTTAAAAGTTTTATCAAACAATATTTTATTTGAGTCGAACTATTTCACTATACTGTACCGTTAAAGTTGAATTCAAGTTGAATGACTCTACTGAGTTACGCGTAGACAAATCTTAACACAGTTTGAAAATATATAAATCCATTGATTTGAGATTCGTGGAAATATTTGTAAACCATTTATTATTGATAATAATTCATAGCCAAGCTCAATATCAATAGTAGTATCAATCTCTTATATACAACATTAAACTTGTAGTATGACAATGTATTATCTATTCAATAAGTATTTCGATGTTGATCTGATACTTTGAAACAATAATTGTATAATTACATCGAATAAGGATGTGGATATAGAGCATTGATGGGGTAGCGTGTGTTGGTATGGGCGTGGCTCTAAGTGTGATTTTGAGTATTCTCATTATTCACACCTATACCGGTCTCCTCTGAAAGGTATAAACTTAGTATTAATAACAAAATCAACAAACTTCCATTACTTCAATCTTCTAAAGTCTCGTTCAATCGTATTATAAACTGAAGTTAGGTATCGTGTTTGATTGATTATTATGGTCGTCTACTGTATGTCACCTTTACATATAAAATCAGATGTACATAAATTCCATATCCTTTTATATCTAACAGAACCTCTATCACAAACAAACATATTATTTCTTGAAAACGTTGAATGGAG